ATAGAGTGGGCCAAATATTGAGTTAACAGCAGGAAAGAACAATTTATTGGGCTTTTCTCCATCTCCTGATTATCTGATCTAAATTAGATCAGTTAAGTTGTTTTTCTCTAAAAACAAAACACCTTTTGTCCACTCAACTTCAAAGAATATTTGATTGTTTCTGTTAGAACAATAATCTTTAGTAACATCTACCTTTTATTTAAACCATCCTTCGTGTAGTGAATATAAAGATATGAAATTAACAGCCCTCTTTGTCCCTACATAAACCAAAATACCATAAACGAAAGAGCACATTCATCAATGTATTTAAAGTATATGTTACCTTCACATCTGAGGTATCTCTTTGGCTGTTCCTCCAAGACCTGGCTACCGAAGAGAAGGTTCGATCTGGGTGGTCAAACTTGCCATCATTTGCATTTAGAAAGAACGTTGTAAAGGGCTCCTGTAGTCAATGAAATGAAGACAGATTAAGAAAACAGCAGAACGAATCATGCAGCAGGTTTCTGACAAAATCCAAATTACTTTTGCAGATCAAAATACTTCATAAAGGCAGAATGAAAAAAAATATGGCACCTCATAATTATATGTGTATCTGTACTGAATATATGTATCTGTACTGAATATCTTAACACATTTATTGGCACTAAGACATTTTGCACACACAAATCTTGAGTTCTGGCAGCAAAGGTTATTTTATATATTTACTCTTCCATAAGACTAATTACCCATCAGTGGCAGACCTATGTAGCTTAGTTCCAGTTCACAGTCTGCCTACTTCACTGCAACTATTGTAAACGACCTCTGTGATATTTATATTACCATGCTTTGTTTACCTCTTGTGAGATAGTACGACAAAAAAAAGTCTAAAAAGATGTCCCACATGGATTTTCCTTTTCATTTAATTTAAAAGATATCAGTAGGTTCCATATCACCTCATGGTGGGCAGAATGGCTCTGCGGTCATTATGAGGCAGACTATGGTTACAGGATATCTAGCTTTACCATTACTTTGGGGCAGAGGTACAGAGAAGAAACATTTAGAGTTTTTACTTTTGCTAATTCTATCTGAAAGCACACTCCCAATACTTACTAAATGGAAACAGCTATTAACTTTTGGGTAGGAAGAGCTCAAGTCTCAGACAGTCTGGAGAACTCATTTTTATGTCACCACAATCCACTGCAGGGAAGGGGTTAACAGGGGACCAAGTCCTTAATTTGACAGCAGAATCCCAATACTGAGATCATTGCCAACTCCCTGGTTTTCTAGCACCACTCAATTAGCTCTCTGATTCAATTAATATTTGGCAATATGTCCACATGGATGGAAACTACTTTTTCCTCTTTGCCAAAGTCTGACGAGGAATATTTGAAAAAGTGTCCCTTTCATTAAATTCACACACAAATTTATTTCTTTACATGTCCTCATCATTTGGAAATTTTGTTAATCAAAGAATCACAGAATCACAGAATCATAGAATCATACAATAGTTTGGGTTGGAAGGGACATTTAAAGGTCATCTAGTCCAACCCCCCTGCAATGAACAGGGACATCTTCAACTAGATCAGGTTGCTCAGAGCCCTGTCCAACCTGACCTTGAATGTTTCCAGGGATGGGGCATCTACCACCTCTCTGGGCAACTTCTTCCAGTGTTTCAGCACCCTCACTGTGAAAAAATTCTTCCTTATATCTAGTCTAAATCTACCCTCATTTAGTTTAAAGCCATTATCCCTTGTCCTATCACTACACTCCCTGATAAACAGTCCCTCTCCAGTGTTCCTGTAGGCCCCTTCAGGTACTGGAAGACTGCTATAAGGTGTTCTCAGAGCCTTCTCTTCTCCAGGCTGAACAACCCCAACTCTCTCAGCCTGTCTTCATAGGAGAGGTGCTCCAGCCCTCTGATCATTTTTGTGGCCCTCCTCTGGACTCGCTCCAACAGGTCCGTGTCCTTCTTATGTTGGGAACCCCAGAGCTGGATGCAGTACTCCAGGTGGGGTCTCACAAGAGCGGAGTAGAGGGGCAGAATCATCTCCCTTGACCTGCTGGTCATACTTCTTTTGATTGGCCCAGGGTATGGTTGGCTTTCTGAGCTGCGAGCACACATTGCTGGCTCATGTCCAACTTTTCATCCACCAGTATCCTCAAGTCCTTCTTTGCAAGGCTACTCTCAATCCCTTCATCCCCCAGCCTGTATTGACACTGGGGTTGCCCGCACCTGGGTGCAGGACCTTATACTTGGCCTTGTTGAACTTCACGAGGTTCACATGGGCCCACCTCTCAAGCCTGTCAAGTTCTCTCTGGATGACATCCTGTCCCTCAGGCATGCCAACTGCATCACTCAGCTTGGTGTCCTCTGCAAACTTGCTGAGGGTGCACTCAATCCCACTGTATATGTCATTGATGAAGATACTAAACAGTGCTGGTCCCAACATGGACCCCTGAGGAACACCACTTGTCACCAGTCTCCACCTGGACATTGAGCTGTTGACCACTACCCTCTGGATGCGACCATCTAACCAATTCCTTATCCACCGAACAGTCCACCCATCAAATCCAATTCTCTCCAATTTAGTGAGAAGGATATTGTGGGAGATCGTGTCAAAGACTTTACAGAAGTCCAGACAGAAAACATTTGTAGCTCTTCACTTGTCCACTGATGTAGTCACTCCATCATAGAAGGCCAACAGGTTGGTCAGGTAGGACTTACCTTTCATGAAGCAATGCTGGCTACCTCAAATCACCTCCCTGTCCTCCATGTGCCCTAGTATATCTTCTAGGAGGATCTTTTCCATGATCTTCCAGGCATAGAGGTATTACCCATCTAGTATTTGATTTTTGTCCTATATATGCTCTATTTCCTTTTCTGAAGCTTTTGAACAAAGCAGGCAACTCCTCCATTAATAAAGAAATTTTGAGGGGAATTATGTCACATAATACACATTGTGTTTAAATTACCCAAGATTAAAGACAATAGAAGTAATTAATTTTCCATAGCATTTAAAAGCTATTAAAATATACATAAGGAAAGCATGTATGCAAAAGTAGTGAAAGAATCCAAGAAGAGGAGGAGAATAAAAGAGGGAATTCAGACTGTCAGAGACCATGGTTTCTCTAATCTTTGCTCCACATGTCTTCCCAATTAATCTTTTCTATCATACAGTCAACACAGGCTACTTTCTGTCAAAGAAGAGAAAAACTAAATTTCTGTCTCCAAAGGAGAAGGAATGGGATATGTCTCTTACTGTCATGATAGTATGCAGGTACCTTTGAAGTAGCTTAAGGGAATTGTTTATATTTGAACAAAGATTTTTTGTTTGGTTGGTTGGTTTTTTTTTTAGCCAGAGACAGTATCTTAACTTTCAGTGTGTGTCAGTGCAAATATGAAATCGTTTTCATTATGCAAGTCATTCTACTGCTAATTGAATAGTGGAATCTTTTCCATGTGTTTTTTTCTCTTAGAATATTAGGGATTTATATTAAAAAGATACATTCAAAACAACAGGTAAGAATCTAAGAAATATACTTTCATCAGAGCATTTATTCCCATCAGAGAATCCTGGTATATGTTAAATAGTCACAATATCATTTCTTGTTGGAGGACCTTAACTCCCATTGCAGAATGAGTTTGTTTGCACTTGTCAATATTGAAAGAGTACATGGTAAGTGAGAAAGAGGTTTATAGTTTGAATAGAATATTAAAATTTAACAGCAGCTCAACTTGATGAGCAGCATAAAATTATCACAATTAATTGTAATATTGAAAGAAAATAAATTATGTTTTTATGTGTCTAGATTTTACAGTGCTTCATATAGTGAACTTCATGTAAAATATAAACGAAAAAGTGTATGATTCAGACCCAGAGCTAGCAGACTGGAAACAATACACACAGGAATCAGATTATATTAATTTAGCCTAAAATGCTATTAATATTATAATTTTAACATTAAATGTACATTACATTCTTTCAACCTTAGAATTATTTTGGTTTTAACTCCAATTCTCTGTATACATTTGCAATAGCAATCTTTGCAAATTATGCTATTTTTCCAGCTTATTTGTACTGAAAAACTTCATATGTTGTTAATATGAACACAAATAATTCTGTCTTCTACCAACCCCAACCTATCACTTTTTTTCTTTATAAAATACATGTAATTTGTTGTGAATATCATTGTGCAGCAGACTGTGGGTCACTTCTGAGGTTCTGAAATTAGAAGAAGTTGATGGAAAAAAAAAAAAAACCAAAACAAAATGGAGAAACCAGAAAAATGATGTAATTACAATAAATTATGTAAAAATATTAATCCAAAATTCCATGACATTATTTTAAGCATCTGAGACAAATATACAAAAGCAATAAAATTCATAATCAAGGATTAAACTTTTAATAGCTGAGCACTACAGGGTGTCCTATTATGCTATCCTGCTATGACCTGTTGTGCCTATCTTTTTGGATTTTTAATCCTTAACAGAAATTCAGAGCTTTCACTTGCTTTATCTCAGACCTCTCACATAATTTTAATGTAATTTTTATTCTCTGGAAAGTCAAGTGCTTATATTATATAAATATAATTCATATCTGTATTCAATATACTCATTTAAATACTGTTATTCTATGATACTGATTACTGTCATTTCATGTAAAGGTTTTGTTGCTGTGAAAGCTATAAAGCTGCACAATGTTGTCATTATAACCCCATCTCACTCGATCCTAATATTCTGAATAAAATTCATGCCTTGTTCACTGCCAACAAGAAGAGAAATTCGTGGGGTACTTGATTACGATGAACACAAGCTTGAGCTGTGGGAACAAGCAATTTTTCCATTCAACAACACTTCTCTCCCTCCATCTTCCTTTTTAACAGTGCCTAGTCCCATTTGAATCATTTATGGTGGGAGTAGGGGATGGAAGAGGAAGGGATGTGCCATTCTGAGACAGAAGACAAGAATGTCTTTTCATAAGAGGAGAAAAAGAGAGTATGTGGGGTTTTGTCAAAGTCACGTACACCTTTTGTCTGATACATCTGCAACTGTCCTGCTCAGACCTACCAAATAGGAGACTCAGATTCTCTTCTGTTTACAAGACGATTTCAAGTCCTCCCCACCTTTGAATCTCACTAAAAACTAGTTTCGGCTCAATCAGACCTGACTCACAATAAATCCAGAATTTCTGGATACAAGTACTTAGTTATTGTAATAGCAACTGGAAACCAATTATTCTCTACAAACTTCTTGACCAAAACATTAAAGAATCACGCTCTCTAATACTGGTCTTTGTTTCAATGACAATGTAACTGATTCATGCAAACACAACTTGAACAGCAACTACTGAGAGCATCCAATTGCACCATAACTCTAGCCTATTTCACCTTAAAATGTGAAAACAACAATGACATTTACATTCAAGCCAGAATTAATTCTTCTGACTACTTTTCTGTTTTCTTCTATCTACTTTTCAGACTAACATTCAGGTCACTGGAGTATATGGCATTCTGATGTAAGATTCTTCATTTAAAGTATTCTACCTCTGCAACTCAAATATTCATTGGCCCATATGGAAAGCACGTGAAAAAAATTACTCTTGAACCAGGTCACCTATCCATAAACTATCAATATTTAATTTCATTGATAAAAAAATGGAACTGTGTCAACAGAACAGTGCATTCATTTCCAGAATACCTTTTATTCTGTTTGCTGGAGCAAACTTGTGGGTGACGTTGGCTCAGATTTCCTAAGGAATAAGTTGAATTTCTTAGGTTTAGACCTAAAGATGTGTGATGTGCAAAAAATGTTTAATCATGATTTGATTTCAGTAACACCTCAAGGGAGAGGAAGGCAATATTATACAAATAATGGTCTTTTCTGTTCATTTTTATCATCATTATTAACCTGACTCAAAAATATGGTAGACTTCAACATTCATTATCTATCTCTGTAAAGTAGTTACCTAACCTTTAATAATCTACCTCTCAACTTAGAAAGTAGGCCGATCACTTTCAAGAAACAGTTGATTATGGATATAAACCTAACACTTTTAGAGAAAATGCAGGATTCATTTGTAATTATAGCATTAAAAATTTCTAGGCTGTGGCTCAGTTCATTTCTTATGAAGCTAGTTAGAAGATTGTTTCCTGACCTTTCAGAATTCTAGTGTTATGGAGTGCTCTGAAATGCACAATGGACTAGTTTAAATAAACATGTACAGGTTAATTAAGAATTATAATTTCAATTCATACCTGAGTGTGTGCATGCATGCATGTACGTGTGTGTGCAGGGGGTCTGTACAGAAAAAGGGTGTGTGCATTATCTTGCTATGGGAGAGTTTTAGGGTGTCCTGTGTAACCCTCAAAAGTGACCATAACTAATCCGATACATGGGCTGGTGAGGCTGAACCACTGCTTATCCTGAAACTGCCTTCATTTTTCTACGGGCATTCTTGTAGAAGAGAATGGAATATACCTAGACTTGTACAATCAACTCACAGAAAATACAAACAGAAGCTTGGCAGATGCGCTAGTAGCCCATGGCTTCAGTTAAGGATTGCACCCTATTCTATTAAGTATAATGAAAGGCAGAAGAAGAACAAAAATTAATAATAAAATTATTATAGTTGCTGTAATTATCAGTAGCTTCAACATATTATATGCTAAGCCACTGTCATATTTTTAAAAACATAATGAAATAGGTCAATTTTAAAAAAAGATTTTCACTGGACACTCTTGGTACATAAAAGAATTCAAGAGAAAACCGTAGCACCAGTGAAAAGTTTATTAATGATAAAATGAAGGCAGAGATTTATGATATCAAAATCAATTAAATAGGACAGAACTGAGACTAAGGCACAAAATGCCTTTTATAAAAGTAGCCTGATATGTCGGATAAAGGAAAGCAACAGAGGGAAATGTAAGGCAGTAGGGAGCAGATTATCACAGAATTGACTCAGAAATATGATATTACAAGCAATGTTTTGAAGAGAACTGACAGGAACCAGATTGCATCTTTCAAAGCCAAAAAGCAAGATTTAAAAAAATTTTGAGGTTTTGTGGCAATTACACAACTCTATATATATACTTCACAGTGGCTGAAACTACTTTTCCTACTGCAACTTCTGTTTCCTCCAATACAAAGGTCTAGGCATATTACTCTGTACCGTTTTGCTCTGCTTCTATGTAGATTATCTCATTCCAAATACACTTTTTGTCATAGCTTTTTGTTTGCCTGCTTGTTCATTTTTTTTCCATTTCTCCCTTTTTTCTTTCCCTTTTTTTTAATTCTTGGGTCTACTCAGTTTTCTCCCATGATTTTACTTTCCACTCCTCTCTTTCACTCTCAGTTTGATGTCACTTTCTACCAAAAGCTCTACTGTAACACATCTCTTCCCATGAATCTTCTCCAATCTCTTAAAATACTGAAGCATTTTTCTATCTGAATCCCTGCGTCTCTTATTGTCACCTTCCTCTTCATGGACTAGACTGTAATTTACCTTTTATAAAATGTTCTTACAGTCTTCTTCACAAATTCATACCAAAACACTAGCTCAAAAAATTCACAAGCAAGAAATCCTGCTTTAACTTCCAGAAATCTGACTTAGCCTTATCTATCAACTTCACTGGCATAATCTGCTCCCTTAGGATTTTTCATCCTTTATTTGTAGCCAAAAATATCTCTCTAAGGATCAGTATGACTTTATAATCCTCATAGCTATAATCTTTTACTGTTCCTATAAACACATAATTCCAAGTCTTTATTTTGTGTTTCCATATGCAGCCCTATCTGATATCATCATGTTATTTCTTTTTTCCTTTTTCTGGGCTTTAACCTTTCCCCATGTCTGTCTGCCTCTCACTTCTGTTGTCTCCTCCCACTACTGATTGTTTTTCTTTGCTGGTCACTACTATTTAAATAATCTTCAAAATACCTATCTAGGTGTGCCCCCATATTTAAATTCCCCCTTTGTTGTTTTCACTTTCTTGCCATCAGCAATCGCTTCCCCAGAAAGCATTGCTTTTCCGTTTCTGCTTGCTATTCTGATATATATTGTTTGCTCTAAAACAAACACAATTTGTCAGGTCTATACTGCAAGGCCATCAAGGCAGAGACCTTGTTCTCTTGCTCTTTTAGGGCAGAAAAGAAAGAGAGCAAGAACACCTACAATATTACATAAACAACAGCAGTAAAAATGACACGGCATTAGCCTAATACAGGAAATGAATACTCCTTGGTGTGTTGTACATTCAGCCTGTAAGCAGACTTTCAGACCTAAGAATTTGCCGACTAGCAAGAGGGGATCTTTTGTTGAGTAGTGGCCAAAATTAATAGATAAACATGCAAATAAACCCACTGTTTTTAATATACTTTAAGGCAACAAAGAAGCACATGTGAACCATAAAATGTATTCACAGTACATGAATAATTTAGAAACATTTAAAAGGAATACAGTGATCACCCCATATAGGAGTGTAATCAACGTTTAGTTTCCCACGGGTTAAGAACTATCCTGAACTCATAGACACACAAATTCTTCCTTTCTGAGCAGAAAAACAGGACGTGTCTAAGGGAAGCTGAGATGAGTGAAAACTCAGATCTCTAGCTTTGTGCGGCTCTGCTTTGCTTGCTTGTGTGCAAAACATGGTTAGAATACACCTTATGCGATGGATTTTTATTGGCAGGGTGTAGTTTAAGTTCAGTAATCACATAGTGACTCAATTTTTCATTAATTCAGGTTTCTCTGTGAAACCTTAAGTCTCTCATCAACACTCCTTTTTCTGTAATTCATTGTGTTAACACAAAAACTGAATTCAGAATCATTCTATGAAGTTTGGCCCTGAACTGATTTTGAGGATGGGGTTTAAGCATGAGGTTTCCAGAGCTGAAATAGCAGTTTGAAGTTAGAATCTACATCTTTAAATTTCTGAAAACTGTAAGATATTAATTCATTGAGAAGCATAGCTCATTTGCATAACATATTACCCCATACTGCTTTAATATAAAACTGGTTCTATAATTCCCCTCTCAATCTGACATAGTTTAATGTGCTTTTTACAAAAGGTTTTTCTTTAACGTTGTATGTATCTGTCCCTAGCTGAAAATAAAAAATTAATATATGAGCTTTCCATATTGTCTAGAGACATTTTTTTAGGTGGATTTAGTTTTAGATGGATTTTCTTCATCATATGTATCCTTATACCACCACAATTTTGTGTCTAAATAAATTTCAGATTGGTTGGGTAGGAAGGACCCTCTGATCACTACAAATGAGTACACACAGTATACCTAGAGAATTTCTGAGATTTTAAGGTAGTGAAGAACAATGAGATTTTGATAGAAAGATACTTTCATTAAAAAAATCAAAATAGTGGTAAATGACAGAAGAGAGGCTATAGATAAAGATATTAATGAAATCCAGGATCCGGAAATACTTACAATACGAACAAGCCAAGCCAATGTAGAAGTAGATGTAGAGTAGTGGGTGTTGTAATGATAAGGTGGAGTCTGATCATCTTCCCATGTCTCATATCGTTCTGCATAGAAGACTGCTCTCTTTGGGTTCAAAGCACCAATAGGCTGCAAAGGGATAAGAGGTCAAATATATTATCAGCATGTCTGATGTGCCATAAATTAATTCGGCACTAAGATTCACTACATAGGAGACTGCAACCAAACTCATTCCATGCTGTAGTAATCCCTTCAGATGATTGCTGTAATCTTAGAATTTCTTTTCAAAGGCTTTGTGTACTAAAAGTCTTATGACTTTCCTTATTTTAACTGACAAATATAAGTGATCTACATCTGCAAACTTTCAAGACCTTCTTGAATTATGAATTGTTTCCCAATTAATTCAGTAACATTGTTCTGGAAATAGACTTTTAAAACTGCATTTTAAATGCATTGAGGCCAAACTAATATTTCTGTTGCTGTCATTCACCATAATCACACAGCTAATGAAAACTGACTTTTGCTCACACAGGATACTTTGTAATGCACAGTTCATGATGAAAAGATTTCACGCGGAACTGCTGATGGTGTCTGGTGATCCTAAGCAGAAATACTTAAAAACCATGCGTAGTCCTGCAGGACTGGATCTACTTTCTGACCGAACAAAGCTAGGTTTTACTGAGCAAAACAAACAAGCTTTGTACTTAAAAACAATAGAATTTGGAAATTATTCACAAATTCAGACTCCATTCTGAGTATACTTAACAGACAACCTATACAAATCAGGTAAAAAACAAAAGAAATGTAAAACAGTAGTAGGAGCTGTTGGTTTTGATGTGTCTACTTAGGGGTTACATGCTTTTCTATGATTTTTTTTAACCTATTTTATCTCATAATTTTTTGTAAAATATATTTGTTATTGTGAGATACAAAAGCCACTGGGATAAAGAAAATACAACAGAAAGTAGATAAAATGTTGAAATACATAAGTGATCTTAAATCTGTTTTTCCAGACAAGATAGTAGTAGTGTATTTACCACGAGTCTGCAAATCATCAGATTTTAGCTTTTGTAGTAAAATTAACCAAACACAGAGAGTTTAATATTTAGAGGAGAGCACACTTCCACACCAAATAATTGTATAAACTTATAATTTTAAATGATTACTTGATTTGTATTAATAAAAAATTAAGAGTTAGAATTTATATTATTAAGGGAATTACACCTGGAAAACAAACATATGCTCAAGGATTTTGACCTTTTTCAAAATGCTAACAGGTATTCTTGCATTTTATTTCACAGCATATTTTTTCTACTGAGTTAAAATCCAAAGTGATTTGGAGTGGAAATACTAGTACAAGGTCAAATCAGTGTGTTTCAGTACACTACATATGTAACTGAACAATTTTATACCTACAAGTATTTTATTCCTTCAGCGCTGCTTTTTGAGATGGCTGTTAAAAATGCTGACATAGAACGTGCTGTTTTCCAATTTTACATATTAGAGCTTGTTTTTAAATAGCAGTGTTTGATGAACACTTACATTTTAAAACATTATTATTTCAGTATTTTTCACGTGAAACACTCTGGATGCTTAATACTTTGCTGTGTCATGGAGATGTTAATAGCTTTCTCATAAGTGTAAAATGTATGAGTAAACCCTAAGGATCAGTGTTATCTGATGAAGATTGCACTGCAAGACCTCACAAAACATTCTTGAAAGAGAAGCATGAGCCATTCCCTAACGCTTTCCAGGCTTGTTTCCCAGCTACTGGAAAAAGAAAAAAATAAATATTTGCATTTTTGTTATGCTCATTTTCGTTACACATCCTGCCACTGTCAGGAAACATGCTCGTATTCTTTATAGCCTATAAGTTACCAATGTATAAAAATGGTTGCTCAACCACTTTCTTGAAAGAGTAACTTATTAAAAGACATTCTTTTCCTATTAGACTGAAAAACTGTGCAGTTATGTGCATTTTGATAAATTATATCAAGGCTCTGGGTTGCTTTGAGGACTGCATGCGACCTACTAATACCACCCTCATCAAGGTACTGTGCATCCACCTCTAACAGAACAAATTCCAGTCCCTGATTGCACATTTCAAAAGATAAGGCAGTAATTCCCACCCTACTCTGTTAACTGGAAACATTCACTCCCTCTGAGAAAGAAACACAAAATGGCAGACAAATCAGTGAAATTGCACTGGATTGAGAGCAGCCCTGAGGAGAAGGAGTTGGGGGCGTTGGTTGATGAGAAGCTCAACATGAGCCAGCAGTGTGCGCTTGCAGCTCAGAAAGCCAACCGTGTCCTGGGCTGTATCAAAAGAAGCGTGACCAGCAGGTCGAGGGAGGTGATCCTGCCCCTCTACTCCGGTCTTCTGAGACCCCACCTGGAGTACTGCATCCAGCTCTGGGGGCTCCAGGAAAAGACAGACATGGAGCTGTTGGAGCGAGTCCAGAGGAGGGTCACAAATATGATCAAAGGTCTGGAGCACCTCTCCTATGAGGACAGGCTGAGAGAGTTGGGGTTGTTCAGCCAGAAGAGAAGGCTCCAGTGAAGACCTTATTGCAGCCTTCCAGTATCTAAAGGGGGCCTACAGGAACTCTGGAGATGGACTGTTTACAAGGGTATGGAGTGATAGGACAAGGGGTAATGTCTTTAAGCTGAAGGAGAGCAGATTTAGATTAAAGAGAGAAATTCTTTACTATGAGGGCAGTGAGGCACTGGAGCAGGTTGCCCAGAGAAGTTATGGATGCCCCCTCCCTGGAAGTGTTCAAGGCCAGGTTGGATGGGGCTTTGGGCAAGCTGGTCCAGTGGAGGGTGTCCCTGTCCATGGCGGGGCGGGGTGGTGGTGGAAATAGATGATCTTTAAGGTCCTTTCCAATGCAAGCTATTCTATTCATACTACGATTCTATGATTCATATTTTGTAATGGAATACTGAGAATATCTCTTCCCTCCACTGTGAAGGTGCATCTTACCCTATGCTGCAGTGAATTGTGAGGCTATGGTCAACAGAAGCATCATCCATCACAATATTAGTGTACATATATGTTTGAAGGCACAGTAGAGAAGGGATATGGTGATTAATACAAGATTGAAAATCAAAACTCCAGGCCTTTCAAATATATTTGAAGCTGATCAGATGTATTTCATCAAATAAGCTATGTGTTTTCATTCTTCACTGTAAATTGATTACAGCAACAAGAGCTGTGAAGCATAACTGATGCTGAAAAATAATTACAAGTTATTTTATTTTATAGACTAGAAAAAAATTCAATGATGATTTAACCCATAGCTTTAAATATTTTTTTGAAAAAAAGTTACATATATATTGTTGGTTTTAATGAAAGAGGTATTTTCTCTCAAGAACTTGCCAATAATTTTCCAAAGTCTCATAAAACACTAATGCAAACACACCATCATGTTTTCTAGGTTCTTCAGGGAGAAGTGCTATTTCAATTTAAAAGATGAAAGATATAAGGTTGTAAGATGGTGCATTCCCATTTTCATGTAAAAATGCCTGCACAAGTAGCTAAAATAATCTACTTTCAGAAGACACATGTTCAATTTATTAAATGATAAATCTAAAAAGCTGCATTCTGAAGATTACCTTCATCCTCATCAATATTCTTTTCAGAGTCAGAATCCATTTTTCTTTCAATTACTTTAGGATTCATTTGAAGAAAAATGCTGAAATGCACAAAATATCTGCTGAATAAAATGGAATTTTTAAGTGAAATATCATGAGAGTCATCTCTCTTCTTGCATGGTATGGAAATTTTCATGTGAAAATCTCTGGGAATAATCTTTTCTAGGAATTACCCTTCCTTGCCCCAGAGAGAAGGAAAGAAAGAAAAAAGGGGGTGAGATTGAGCTGGTCTTCAGCTAGAAAGTCTCACCTTGACTTTTCTGGACAGATTCTGGATTGGATGAACTATTGATCTGGATGGTAGCCTGGGATTTAGGAGATACAGATTCATTTCCGTCATTCAACAAAGATTTCTACTATCCCCGGGTAAACTGCTTAGGTATGACTATGGTTTGCAATACAAAGGTGTGCCAGAAATCCCTGAGCTAACTGTAGAGGGGCTGGCGTGCAAACACAGCACCATTTCTGCAGAGATGACAACTGGAATCTCAGAAGTAGTACAGCTGTGTCAATGCAGCACTGCGCAGGGAGAAGAGCTGGGAACTGCACCATGCTCATACAACTCTGCAGCTTCTGGTTCAGCGTTACCTCAGATATCTCTGGCTTGTGGCGAAGAAATACAAGGAACATCTGATCCCCTTTTTCTCCTTTTCTGTGCAGTAATGGAGATCCCTATATGCGAACCACTTCTCTGCACATTAATGGAAAGGACTTAAATCTCCCCTGATGTAGGAAACCATACACACTGAAAAAGCTAACGGAAAGTGCTCAAATCTCTCATTATTTTGTTGTGTAATTTAAAAACTTGCTGATTAACCACAAATAGATCAGCTTGTGCGTACCAAATTACCAGGCATTTTTTGAAAGTGAAAACTTCCATAAATAAAATAGCATGGAGTAAATTCAAAGAGGTCTGCCCCTGGCTTCCTTAGTGGTTTTTTAATGTCCATGTGGCAATATGCTATTACCCAAAGAAATGGTAACAGTTCATCCTTCAATAAAGACATGCATTTTCCATAAAGACTTTAAATCTCAGTTGTGCAAAGTAGCACCTAACACAGTTTTACTCTAATGAGGCATGTGTCATGCTACAGGACAAGTTCTACAGTAGTGGTAGCTTCTCACATTTCTTGTGAAATGTGTAGGATATATGGAGTTTTGGTCACTTTTACGTAGCATTACAGTGCCATTCTCAGTCCAGAAAGACAACCACTATGGTTTTCATCAGATATCATGGCTATAAAATGGAGATAAATTTTATTTATGGATCTATCCCTGTATCTTCACGTAATGCAAGAAAATAATTTTATTTCCATTTATTTCATCTTTACTGCTAAGGCTGGCACTTAGGAATCCCAGACCCTGGAAGTAAAAGACAAGTCTTGCGAAAGGAGGACCTTCCCTTGGTTGAGGAGGATCGGGTTAGAGAACATCTAGGCAAATTCAACATTCACAAATCTATGGGTCCTGATGGG